CCAATCCTTTCTTCTCTACCCAGGTTTCCATTAGAATTATTACCTCCCATTCCTTTAAACCCCTCCAGAACTCCTCATCTTTATTACTCAATCCCGCTATATTCCAGAACATTATTCCCCATCCCTCCTCCGCTTCCCTCCTCTTACCTTCTCTATTTTCCTTTCCTATGTTGTCGTTCCTTCTTCCCCCCCTATAGTCCTTTTTTTTAACTCCTTCACATTCCCGTTACCATCCCTTAACACCTCTTCATCCTCGTCCCATCTCCACCATATATTATCTATTCTGACTCTCCCATATCTTATCCATACACTCTTCCCCTCCTTCTCCTCTTCTCTCGCTATTTCCTCTAATTTCCACTTCATTTTCCTCTCCCTCCATGTTAAATCCTCACCTATTCTCTCTTTTTTCCCTTTCAGTTTACTCTTCATCTCTAGAATCTTACCTCTCTGTTCTTCATCTCTTAATTTGACCCATACCATCTCTCTCCCTTTCTCTCTATCTTCTCCTATCTTTTTAGTTTCTAAAATGTCTACTTCTACTCCTATTTCCCTCATAAGTTCTTCTACCTTTTCTCTCCTGTTTTCCCCTTCCACTTTCAATCCCCTTACTATATTTCTTCTCCTCTCCTCCCTTTCTTTTAGTTCCAACTTTCTTTCTATACTCTTTAATCTATTCTTTAAAATCTCGTCCCCCTCCTTCCCTTCTTTCTCTTCACTGCTTTTTTCCCATTTCCCCCTCTTTTTTCCAACTCTATAACCCTTTTCTCTATTTTCTCTATCTCAGCTCTTAGTACTTCCCTCTCTTCCCTTCCCTCCTTCATCTGTTCTCTGAATTCCCTTTTCAAATCCTCCAGCTCCTGCCCCAGTCTCTTCCCCTGATCTCTCACCTCCCTCTTTATATCCAACAGCGCATCCCTGATCTCTTCTAACGTCGTGTCCGTCCCTTTTTTCCTCGGTGGCGATCTTACCGTTTTACTACTTTTTTGGAAAATCTGCTCCCAACTATTCTCCAATTCCTCTCTCTTCCTTTTCGCCAATTCCTCTACCACTCCGATACTTCCTATTCTCGCCCTTCCTCCCGTGCTCTCAAACCCCTCAGCGCTCTTCTCACCCTCCATTTCCCCCTCCATCCTTACGCCGCCTCTTCCGTACTCCGCGATTTTCGCCCTAGTCCGGTGCCCCGCCTAGTTCCCTTCCCCAGCCGCTCGCGCCGCCGTCGTCGCCCGGCCCGTGTGCCTCTCGAGTTATCCTACTACCTTGCTCTCTCTGACTCTATGCCTACCTGTCAACCGTCCTACCTTTCTCTATCCCTTTACCTTCCGCTACTGCCCTTTTATTAACCCGCCCTGTCTCACACACACACTCACCACTCCACTCTCCACGCACCCTCCACCTGACCCCACACTCTCGTCTCGATCCCTCTGAAATTCTGTGAATCTCACGAACGCTACTGACACGTGTCCTCTGCTTATCGCGCCGGAAACGGAAGTCCTACTTTTTCTTAGTAATTTTTACTAAATGCCTGTGTAGCTACCTTTAAAATCATAAACAAACTACCATTTTCATTTACAAGGTCACACCTGCCCCCTCCCGCAACGGTCGGTACGGATTGAATACACACACACACACACACACACACGCGCGCGCGCGCGCGCGCACGCTTCTTCTCGCGGCGCAGACTGACCGAGCAAGCGAGATCCACTCCACATCTC